ACATACAGGCAAATTTAATTTGATTTGTTCTCCGTATTCCACTTTGCTGCGTTTTTGGTTTTAAATTCGGATTTTTTTGTTATTTTTGGTGTTGTTGGTATTGTCTTGCTCTCGCAAAATGTGGCTTGGACTTTAATTCCAAGGTCATCCGCCGTCGCATGAGCAACATTGCCGCTGCCTGTCTATGTCTCTGTTGTTAGACCCTCTCTCTTTCTCACTCCACGACACTCCACTCGAAATCAGTCAAAAGAATCACAAAGAAGCCAACGGAGACGATGAAACAGAAGCTGAAATAATAATTTAAATTTGTTTAATGTTAAGACAAATTTAATTGGCGCTGGTAATCCAGTGTGAAAACGAGACGATGGCAGATTAACGCACCCTGCTAAAAAAACTACGGTGTGGCGGACGGTAATTAAGCAGAAAGAAGCCGGAGACGGCAGCAGCAGGCGGCAGTAATTGCACCTTTTTGATGAGATAATTTTTAAAAATGTATTTACTTTCATATGTATTTGCCGGCCCCCATCCCCTCATATGCTCCCCATCTCGACAGCGCACACTTTTTTCCCTTGCGTTTTTTTGCACTGCTTATCGTCTGGCTGCCAGTCAGTCCCCCCTCTCTCTTTCAGTCTTTCTTTTTCTTGTATTAAAACACCCGCAATCGCCAGCTCTGTTCTGCCTCTCGCAGCGCGGCAGCGCAGCGGCAGCGGAAGAGAAGCTTTGAGAGCAAAGCAAGCAAGCTATCTGTCGCTGCGTTGCGTGCGTCGCTGCTTTTCTGCTTAATGCTTTGCACGCCTCACACTCAAACAGACACAGGCACGCAGTCTCATGCACACATGCACATTGAGTGTGTTTCGGTTCCGCTGCGAATGCGAATATCAAGGTCAACGTGTGATGTGTTAACGTAGCCGTCGTTGCTGTCGCTGCCGCTGCCCCCGCCAACGTCTACGCTGCTCTATACTTCCATCATCTCTTGCCCACACCCCCCCTGGCACCTTCAATGTGCCGAAAGACTGAAATAAGCTCCAAGAAATCATGAGAAGAGAGGATGAGAAGCTCTCAAGCGTCGATGTTGATGTTGATACCCTACAGATCGATTGTGTCTATGAAATCTATTCGAGCTGGTGTCCATATCCATTTTGTGACACATTCGCGTGTGGAGTTGAAATTTTGTGGGAATATCTTTAGAAACAGAAATGCTATTGCATCGAAACTTGGGCGCAAACTCATTAGAAACTAACAGAAAAAATCATAATACCCTCTACCAAGGGTGTGTACAATAATTACGTCTGCGTTCGCGTCGTCGTCGCATGCGAAAGAAAGACGGGCAGAGGCGCAGCGGCAACAGAATACAAAAAAAAAAAAGAACAGAAAAAAAAAAACGCAACTTTTGAAGCGCAGTTGTTAAATTAGAAATGCCATATTTTGAAATAAATTTGTATTTTTCCCCATTTATTTTTTTGCTGCGTTATTTGTCTACCAAGTTTCGAGTTTCTTGGCCATTAATCAGCTTCAGAGAATGTTATGGGAAGCAGATGATGGGGCATTATATTATTATTAATGTTAGGATCCGAAAATGGAACATTATGCATGAATGTTTCTTTTCGATAAATTCACTTGAAAGCTCGAAGATATTTTCAAGAATATAATTATGTATAATTCTTGCCATAGATCCTCAGTCAAGGAAGAATATTGCATTCTGTTGTCTACTGCCCATCAGCCTAATCGATCTATGCATCTATCATCTTAAATACCCAATTAATATCCCTCCATGTGGACGGGGCAGAATTCTTGCCTTCCTTTTATTGGGGGGAAAAATCAATAAAATTAAATTACACAACAATCGATCGACGGATAATCGATCGTGGAAAATTATATAAATTTACTCGCATTATGCGAGATGCGGGCGAACAAATTGAGCAAAAAATAGAACCTAATCACAATGTTTGCACAGTGGAGTGGCAGTGGGAGTGGGAGACAGATCAGATGCAGATCCTCCTCCCCCCCCCCCCGATGATGATCGATCCATGGATGATGATTCCTAGCCAAAGCAAAGACTAGCCAAATTGTATTAAGACATAAATGTGAGTCAAAGATGTGAGGAAGAGCAACGCGAAGATGAGGAGGAACAAGAGCCGCAAGCGCCACAAACCACAGAGGAACAAAAAGAAGTAAACATAAATCTCATATCGAAATGCTGGAATACTCTACCCTGCTAGGAATTGGAATCTAAACAGACCTTTCTGTCCTTCCAAGCTACTCCAGTAATACGAAATACGAAATACGAAATGCCATCATACCAAAGGGTATTCTGCCAGAGCAGAAGAACCGAACCTATGGGCAAAGGCGGCGCGATATGCAAACATAATAATTTGCATATTTCGCCGCAGTGTTTGGTTTGTTGTTTTTGTTGTGTGTGGCTCTCTGATGGTGGTCAAGCCACAAAATATCTATAAAAGGGAGTGCCCATGCCCCCCCATAATAGAAATGTTAGCAAGAAGCAGCAGCAGCTGCATCAGCAAAGGGCAGAGGCAGAGGCAGAGGCAATAGCGAAGGCAACGGCTGAGAAGCCAAAGAGGAGTGCCTGTCGGGTATTTCCAAAAAGTGTTTTGGGCAAAATGTTTCCAGTTTAACAGAGAACCAATGGAATTTCGCATTATTCCTATTGAAAATATCATCAGAAGGGTCTGAAAGAAGGCTCTCTTCCGATCTGGAGAGTTCCTATGTGGCAGAGAGTGGTATATGTACTAGCGGTTTATTTAGTTTTGATTTTCGCTTCATGGTCGTTTTTTGTGCTGCTTACATTTGGGTGGAATGTGGCCGCCCACTCGGGACATGCGATCGGTTAACGCGAGACTCGCTCGCCCCCAATCCCTGTCCGAATGTCAGCAAATTTATGTTGTTGACTATTTTGCCGCAAATTACATGCAACATTTTGCAAGGAGAGCAGCAGCAGCAGGAGCAGGGAGAAAGCGTTAGGAATCAAAGCCTTTGGCGTTCATTAGCTTTGGGGGCGTGCTGCCAACAGAAAGGAGCAGCCAAGCAGCAACGAGAGAGAAGCAGCAGCAGCAGCAGCAGCAGCAGCAGCAGTGGCGCGACAGCGGCGTTCAATTAAAAGTGTTGCCAATTTGCGACGCCTCCTCCACCCTGCTCCATCGCGCTCCTTCCGCCACTCCTACTTCTCATTCTGCTGCTCCATGGAGCAGGCCTCCTCTCTTCTTTCTTGTAATCAGGAAATTCGATTTTCTTAATGCCACCATACGATATTGGTAAGCAGGGGGAATGTAGAGGAGGAGTGGCAGAGTGAGTGCAAGAAATACTGGACTCTGGAGCTTGGAGTCCAGCAGCAGCAACTCGCTGGCACCCCTGCACCTCCCAGCACCCTCGTCTCTGACTTCTAATATGCGCGTGAATTTATTAACGCTCATTTTACGCTGTTGTTGCAATTCGGGGGCGTGTGCAGGCCGATTGCATTTTTTTAAATAAATTCTAGCGCAAACGGCGCGTGACAGGAGACGCCGAGATGCAGTTGCAGTTGCCCCCAAAAGAAGGAAGCGGCTGAGGCTGCGGCTGAGGCTGATTCTGCAGTATGAGCGAGGGATAGAAGGAGCGGTCCAAGGAGCAGAGTTGGTGGCACTTTTTGCTAGGGATGGCAGCGTGTGTGTACACTTTTTGAGGCATGATGCAACACCCAACATAATACATGCAACAGGAAGCGTTGTTAAGACCAGCGTTGGGGATGGACCAGCTACAATCTTGATACAAATAGTTTCTATATAAAAAACCACATACATGTCATGTGCATGATGTTAGAGAACGCTGCCAGCAGTCGATTATGCAGTTTGAGAGTCTATGAGTTCATATATGGGATGGTATCATATGCGAGAGTCACTAGACATGCCAGAGGATTCCATAATGGTTTCCGCTTTCAATATTATCATTCACTCGAGTGCTGAGAGTTTCAAGTGGATGCAAGAGATGATTATTTGCCGCTGTCCTCTCTCCACTCTCCTCTCACGTGGCCATCTCCAGGGCGAGAGCAGAGTGGTCCGTTCGAGGCCAAAACCTCATTAGGCTATAGCGAAATCTATATGCGAAATGGAGGCCGACGCCTTTTCAATTTGCCAGCAATGAAAATTTACAACATCGATGCAGTGGCCATGCCCCTTGTGGCCCCAACCCATCCCATTCCACTGATACCGGAGTGCCTCTGGAGAGAGAGAGAGAGAGAGAGAGAGGCGGCTTGGGATGGGGCTGGGGCTTGGGCTGCACCTAGTCCGTGGATCGTGGTCTGTGGATATCTGGCGATCATTGCATACCCCAAGGCGTGCATGCGCACATAAAAATCGACAGCAAATGCCGAACGAACGAACGAACGATTGAATGAGCGAACTGGTTGCCAGTTACCTTACCAGTTACCGGGATGTGTTTGCCTCTCCTCCTTCTCCTTATCCAGCTGCTGGTGCCGCTGCTGTGGCAGGCGGCATTGTCATTCGTGGCATGTTCACGCCTTGACGCCCGCAGCCAACTGGCAAAACTGGACTCCAAATTGAACTCAAACTGAATCGAACTGCATATCGGCCGCTGCCATGGCCACCTCTTCCACGCTCACTGGCTGACTGGCTGACTGGCTGCCCATGGGGCATCGTTCGTTTGGGGCATCTTCAAAGCGGCGGCCGTTTGGCTGCATTTTGAGAGCCAGATCGTAAATCTAATAAATGCCTGGTCCCTGGTACACAGCCACCGCCACAGGAGTGGGCAAACGTGCAGCCAGAGCATGGAGCGAAATGTACATGCCAACAGCAACATTTCTTTCTGTTCTCAAAGAGAGAAATTCCACACTGAATTGCTTTCTTATTCGATTCTTAATCAATCTATCTGGGCAGTAGTTGTCTCCGGTAGTTGTCAATCAATCTCCATCCACACATTCGCCACAATATTCCTCGGTTTCGCTCTCTCTTGCGGTTTCAATTTCTAATCAGCGTCTTGGCCTTTTGCAGGTGGTCCTCTCGGCTTGTTCCTCGTACTTCCAGAGCCTGTTCCTGGAGCATCCCGAAAGACATCCAATTGTGATATTGAAGGACGTCCGTTTTGCCGAGCTGCAAACCTTAGTTGAATTCATGTACAAGGGCGAGGTGAACGTGCAATACTGTCAGTTGTCCGCACTGCTCAAGACAGCCGAATCACTCAAGGTGAGTGCTTGCCACATGCCACATGCCACATGCCACATGCCACTTATTTACTCTTACTTCTCACTTCAGGTCAAGGGTCTTGCCGAGATGACAAATCAGAATACAACGCTGCGCGAACCGGAACGTGAACCCGATCGACTGCGTCCCCATTCGCAGGCCAGCGGCGGCGGCAGTGGCGGTGGCGCCCACAAGGCCGCCGACAGTCCGGCGTCAGCACTGGATGCGGCTTCTTCAGCGGCGACCTCAGCAGCAGCAGCAGCAGCAGCGGCAGCGGCATCAGCGGCCACCAGCAGCAGCACGAGCACGAGCACCAGTGGCAGCGGCAGCTCCTCCACCTCAACCTCAGCAACAGCGGCGGCGGCATCAGCCACAGCGGCGGCTACAGCGGAGAGTTCAGCGACAGGCGGTGGCGGTGGCGGTGGCGGTGGCAGCAGTAGTAGTACAACAGCAACATCTGCCACAGCAGCAGCAGCCGCAGCGGCAACATCGGCCACAACATCTGCCACAACGCCTGCCGAAGAAGCGACATCCGCGTCCAGCGGCAGCCACAAGCGAGAGGCGAGCGATCGGTGCAGTCCACCGCCAGCGAAGCGTTACGCAGTCTCCGGCGGCTCGGTGAGGATCAATCTCGATGAGGACGATGATGAGGAGGACGAGGAGCTGGAGGATCAGCTGGTGAGGGGCCTGCATGTGGGCGAGGATGCAGACGATGATGTTGATGACATTGACGATGTTGGGGATGACGACGAGGACGAGGAGGAGGACACACCCATGCCGCTAGATCTCTATCAAAGACGTGACGCCGCCTCCGGCTCTGCCTCGGCCTCGACCTCTGTCTTGGCCTCAGGCTCTGGCTCTGGCGGTGAGCATAAAAATGTTGCAAGTGCGGCGGCAACAGAGCAGCCGCAGCAGCACCAGCAGCAGAGTGGTGGCACCACCAGCAGCGCCACCGCCAGCAGCAGCAGCAGCAACAACAACAACCTCAGCAACAACAATAACAACAACTCCAGCAGCAGCAACAACAACAACAGCGGGAGTGGAAGCGGAAGCGGAAGTGGAAGTGGAAGCGGCATCAAAGCTACCTCAATGGCTGCCTCGGCTGCCAGCAATGGCGAAAGCATCGATCTGGCTGTGGTCGCCGTCGAGGATGACGACGACGATGAGGACGAGGATGCCCTGCACCATGACGAGGATAATGTCAACACACGGCACAATGCGGCGGCCCATCATCGCCACCGCCACCACCACCACCATCACGATGACGATGATCTCGATGACGACGATGTTGTCGTGGTGGGCAGCGCCTCAGCGGCATCAGCAGCAGCAGCTGCAGCGGCAGCGGCAGCCACAACCACAGCCTCTGCTGCGGCAGCAGTTGCCCGAGATATTGCCCAAAGGATTGCCCACCAGAGCATACGCCTGAGCCACCACCATCATCAGCACCAGCACCAGCAGCAGCAGCAGCAGCAGCAGCACTCGCACCACCACCAGCAACAGCACTCGCACCACCAACAGCGGCATCAACAGCACCACAACGAGGATGATGACGATGAGGACGAGACGGTGGTGGGCTCGGGTGGCCTGCCAACCATACCCAAGACCGAGATCATAGACGACGATTACGACGATGAGATGGATCTCGACGATGACGATGAGGCGGACAACAGCAGCAATGACATGGGGCTGAACATGAAGATAGGAGGCGGCGGCGGTGGTGTAGATCTCTCCACGGGCTCCACTGTGATTCCCTCGCCCCTGATATCCTTGCCCTCATCCTCGGCCGCAGCAGCAGCAGCAGCGGCAGCGGCAGCAGCAGCAGCCGCTGTGGCAGCAGTCGAATCGCAACGCTCAACGCCCGCCGGTGGCGGAGGAGGAGGCAGTGCGACCTGTGCCTCCGATTTGAGTCTGGGGGCTGGCGGGCGTCCGGCATCGCGGAGTTCACGTGATGGCGGACCCGAAGGTCGAGCCGCCTCCAGTCTGCTGAGTCCCGGGACTGTGGCCAATCTCTTGCCAGTGCAATCGGTGCCATTGGTAAGTGAACAGAAAGGGAAGAGATCCTCACAGGGAGTAGCCCCTCACATCATTGTGTGTACTTGCAGAGCCTGAAGAAAGAAATCGATTGCAGTGAGGACGATAACAGTAGTCACAGTAGACACATGCAACCGCGTTCGGCATCAGCTGGCGGCGGACTGGGCGGCGACCTTGACTATCGCGCCTCCCACGAATCGGTAAGTGTTGCACAAACAATTACTATGAGAACCATTTCCAATACCCAATACCCGCACCCGAAATAAGAACAAATTTGACAATAAACAATGCTCAAAATACCGAAATTGGAAACCTCCCACCCCCACCCCCGATACCCGAAAAGAGCCCCCAAACCCCAAACCCCTTCAGTGAATGCTTTTGCTGCTTCGATAGGTCGGGACGTAAACGATGAATACCGAATACACCCTCCAGCCCCAAACAAGAAAATTCTAAATTACCAAAAAACCATCAGAGATGTGTCCTCTCTGTAATGTGAACATGTGCACATCTGAATATCTGAATCCGATCTGGCTGCCATCTGACAAATCCATTTCTATATGTATTACCCCATGTCTCTCTATATCTCTATTGCCACCAACCTAAGTATTGCTCTCTCTCTCTCTATCTCTATCTCTCTATCTGTCTGTTCTCATATATATATATATATATATACCTGTCTCTCTCTCTCTCTATATATATATATATATATAACTATATACCATTCTTATATATATAAAACTTAAAAAAAAAAAACGAAATACAAAAATCTTACAAAAAAAAACAAAAAAAGAAAAACTCAACCATATATTTTTGCTCTTCGTCGTGTTCTTTGTCTATGAATTTTTTATACATACCATATATATCCCCCCTATAAATATATATCTATATGCAATATATCTATCTACATCCTATATACCCAATATATATATCTATATATATTACAAATAAATCCATTTTCGTTGTCAAACCTTTTTTTTTTTCGTTCAGTTTACAAACCACAAAAAATGCAAATATAAATATCAAAAATCAAATATCAAATGTTAGCTGTTCAGTTTCTTAGCTCTATATATATACATATAGTAAATATATATATTTTGTTAAATGTGTAGCGCTCTCTCTCTCTCTCTCTCTCTCTGTACCTCAATATCTCTCTGTCTGTCTTTCTCTCTCTCTCTCTCTCTATATCTTTCACACACACTCTCTCAATGTCTATCGATCAATGTCTATGTAATTTGTATTTGTTATTTGTAACCAATATGTAATCTATCGATATGTTTTCCAGTCGTATATGTATATGTGTGTATGTATTTATCTCAATCTATGTGTCTATATGCTATCCAATATCCATGTACAGTCTACACAAAACACACACAAAAAACGCACACCCAAACACACTCTATGCAATAAGTTTTCCGCACAGTTGATAGCATTCCTCTTTTTGTGTGTGTGTTTTTTGTTATTTGTTTTTTAATTATTTATTATTTTTATTTGTATTATTTTTGGGTTTGTTTGTAGTTGACTCCTTTTATCGCTCAGTTTTTGTGGGGCAGCTGCGGCACACAGACTCTGACACACCTAAACACCTTGCCACTTGCCACACACATTGCTGGCAATTTCCGTTCGCAATTCCCAACCCAACCCAACCCAACCGACCCACCGAACCTCTCACCTCTCACCATACCTATTTTGTTACATCTTTTTGTTGTTGTTTGTTTCTAGTTGTATTATTTATTTACTGGCCATGTTCAGTGCTCGGAGGTTCTCTCTCCCCTCATCTCCTCTTGCCAGCTCTGTTCCTTTGCTTTCTATTTTAATTTAATTTTTTATTTGTTGCCATTGCCACTTGCTGTTGCTGTTGCTGTTGCTGTTGCAGTTGCATGTTAACGACACTATAATTTTCAATATCCCTGGTGGAGAGTGGGCAAGCTCCTCCTCTTTCTGGTCAATGGAATGGCAGTTACTGCACTGCGATGAGTGGATGCTCTATGTATTGTGATCAGTGCTTCCATTCCTGAGCTAAAGAAAGGTTGAGAGGATAAACCTGAAAGGTCACTCCATTGGCAAATACTGCCAAGCCTTGAAGCAAAAAAATCACCTCAAATGTGCCAAATGGAAAGAGTATTTGTGCTGCCACGCGGCTCTTGTTGCAGCTGCAACCTCTCCAGGTCGACGTCTGTGCATACATATTTATTATTTGAGACTGCAATAAAAAGTACAACCAAATCAAACAATGAGCGAAATTAAAAAGTCGCAGCACCAGAAGATGGCAATAATTGTGATGGTGGAGCGGAGGGGAGTGTGCGATATTCAATTTATTCACTGGTGCATGCAGACACCCACACACACACAGAGTTGGTTGGTTGCACAACAGCAACAGTCTGTCCGTTCTCGCAGAATCGTGCCACGTGTGAGCCACTAATTTTGGCTCGAATTCAAAATGTAATGCATACTTTTCGGCGAGCGCAACTGTACTTTTCGCTTAAGGGGAATGTGAGTACGACGTGGACATGGCGGCACAAAAACAAAAAAAAAAGAAAGTTGGCGAAAACATTTAGCTTCCGGCAAAAATATATTTTCACATTACATTTTTTGTCGCTGGCACCCACCCGCCCCACCACCCTTCTTAGACCGAGAGCAGCTCCTCCATTCGTTCTTTTTCAAATGAAAATTTTTCGTCAACGGCAGGGGATAAGCACACAGAAAGAACGAAAGAACGAAAGAAACAAAGAAGCATACAAATAATAGAATAAAAGAAGGCAGAAAGGGAATGCGAGTAGCCGCTGTCGTTTTTCTTATATTTCTTAGCCTCCACGGCCAGCCCGCCCCCCCGCTGCACAGCGAAAAAAGTAACAAAATAAAAGTACATAAATTTGTATGTACAATGTATGTGTAACGCACTTTGGTGCAACGCTTGACAAAGTTTAACAACAAGTGGGGGTGGAGAAGGTGGCAGGTGCCAGGAGCCAGGAGCCAGGAGCCAGGAGAAGGCGGCTGCATGACAGACCCCAGATGGGCACAAGCCTACGGAAATGTTGTCAAAAAATGCACAGGAGAAAGCCAAAAAGGCAAGAATAATGCCAGATAATGCCAGTCATGAGCCAGTGTTGTACAACGCACTCTAATAAGGGAAGGGAAACACTCATTTTATCAGCTGTAAATGTGTGGTGTCGCAGAGCCAAAAGGCTGATGCTTGGAGATGCTTGGGACATTAAACAAATATCGTTAGAACGAAACGAATTTTCTTTCTCTCTCCCATTCGGACTCCAATGGCACTCAATTCATTTTGTTAATTGCCATCGAGTACGAGCTGGAGTGTGTCAGTGTGTGTGTGCAAAAGTATACAATTTCAGAAGAATATTCATTCCGATATGGATCCTCACTCCTTCATTTATATCACATTGTATCAATCACTTGTATTTGTTTGAACTAGTCAAATATAAACCGAACCGAAGTTGTTTTTGCTGTGGCTTCTGATTTCAATTTCCACTCTAAAGTGCTAGAGAGCCTTCCGTAGACTGACTTTTGTTGATGAAAGACAAGCAAAAAGGGGAGATTGATTGAATAGAGGAGATTGATTGTTTTTGTTAGCATCAATTCCGAAATTAAACGAAAATATTCAAGGGAAACAACACCCGAATGGCCACTGCAATAAGCTGCGTAAGTTTGGTTAATTATCCACGTGCCAGCTTTAATATTTATCGTAACGAAAACAAGATAATTTATTCTGCAATTTGCATTTCAACGCACACTATCCCAACTCTCTCTCTCTCTCTCTCTGTCTTATCCTTGCCCCATGCGGTCGCTCCCTTACGAGACACACAACGAGAGCGAGACCAAGCCGCGACGCACATGCATAAATTCAAATAAAAATTTATCTAAAAACAAAAAAAAATAAAACCCAAAAGCAGGCAGTACAACAGGCAACAAACAAACAAACAAACAAAAAAGTGGCAGCCGCCTCGAGTATGCAGTCGGATGTTGACGCGCTGTGCTGCTCATCAGAAAACACACACACACACACACACACATACAGAGACACTTGTGTGTGGTGTGTGTGAGTGGGGAATGCAATTCGTTGACTCTGACTCTGATGTATTCTGGGAGCCTCTTCTAGGCCTCTCCAAGCCATTGCCGCATAATAAATACTTTTGCTTTTACACTTTCTTTTTTTTTGTGTGAGAGTGTGTTTGCCTGCCCTCTGTCTCTCTCTCCCTGGCAAATGTCCCTACTGGCTCTGTCTCTAACTTCCTTTCTGGCCAAGCAGGCAGCCAGCAGTCTGCAGTGTGGAAATGATTATAACGAGGCAGCAGCAGCAGCAGCAGCAGCAGCGGCAGTGGCAGAGTCGAGAAAAAATGAAAACAAAAATCGACGCACAAAACCAACAACTTTTGCTTTCTTTTTCTTGTTGCTTTCTTTTCTCTCGCTCCCACACACACACACACACACACACATTCACATACACATGAGTATTTAATTTTGAAACAAATGCGTTTTTTCCTTCATTTTGTGTGTGTGTGTGTGTGTGTGTGTGTGTGGGTGTGTGAGGGCTTTTCCCCCTTGTTTTGGGGGCTTCTTCTGCTTTTGCTTTCCTCTTGCCCGCTGCTCTTGTGAAATTTTTTCATAGCATACCTTTAGGCTGGCCCTCAAATGTCGTGCCTCTGCTGCTGCTGTGCTTGCATTTTATGAGTCCCGTCTCCGCAGCTCCACAGCCAGTACCCCCGCATCTTCACAGGCTGAGGGCTCCATCTCTGTGCTACCATCTCCTCGGTCCTGCTGCCCTTGTCAGCATTTGTTTGCTGTCTACATTGCGTATGCGTAATATATATATATATATACGTGTATATACACGTTTTCGTATAAAAATGCCACATGGGAGGTAGGGAGGAAGGGAGGTGGGGAGGTGGGGAGGTGGGGAGGTGGGGAGGCATATAGAAACGCGTTCATATGCATATTTTTTTAATATTTTTATTTGGTGGCTCACGCTCACTCGCACAACTTTTGACTGAATGCATTTAGGTAGAACACAGCAGGAGGGACGAGACTCCCCCAACAGTTCTCTAAGCCCTCAGACCTCGGCCCTCGCCGCTCCTCACATCAATGCTCTGGCAACTGTCAATCATGCAGTGCGCACAACAACAAAAACCGCACACAAAAAATAAAGATTTTTGTTTTTTAGCCAACGCCAAGCGGAAATCCAAAC